ACCGAATGCATTGTCTGGCCCAGAGTTTCCTCATCACTTTCATTCATTTACGCTTATACTTCGCTTATTTTCTCTTGTTTGTTTATATTATCGACCTTCGGAATATGGAAAATGCCGGCTGGCCGCCGGTTGTAAAAGTTTTACGCTTCCACTGATTCTCCGATTAATGTTTGTGTACCGGAAAGTATACAAAGGAAATACACATTTGGTTTTCCGGCTGCATAGACGCCACTACCACCCCAAAGTGAGTAAGTGGTAAGACCATGACAACCCCAACAGTTGCATTTGTCGTGTTTTTTTTTTTTCGAATTAAACGCCAAGGCAACGTTCGACCGCCAGTTACCCCAACTTCAGTCGACTTTAATAGATGATATTTTTGACTTTTGATATTCGTAACATTGTCTGCTGTCTGCGTGTATCCTTTATTCATTTCCCTGTTGGCGCTTTACAAATTTATATAGTACATCCTTTCTGCAAAGGGCATTGGTTTCTTTATGCCTGCGTTGGCTTTCACTGCTGCTCTTTGTGTTGATATCAAAGCAATCACACTTCCTTGTGCGTTTCATAATAAAATTGCTCGCTATGGGGCATGTAGCAAAAAAACGGGATATGATATGTTGCATGCCACAAACTGTGTTAACATTTCATTTAAGGATTTCAACAGGGAATACATACTAGAACTCCCCATATAAATATTTGTTTTTACATTTATGAGTAATACCGACAGTTTAAGGTGCCATCTGTGGCAACAAGGGAGTTTATATGTAGAAATACGGCAAAAAAGGGGCTTGCCAGACGACAGCTGGCACTGACGACTATGTTGTTAATTTGCTTGATTTTTTTTTTTATTGAAAATATGTTGCACGGATTTTAGTGGTGATTTTTGTTTCATAAAGTTTTTTGTCATTGTTTACTCCTTTCGTTTGTCATGTAAACAGTAGTTATGAAGTTTTTAGAGGGTGGCTAAAAGTGGATTAAACAGTAATTAGCACTAATGTGGCACAAATTGATTTACACAGTCCAAATGTTGGTACGCAGTCGGAAACCAACCCTGTTATGACAAATTGAGCAAAGACACAAAGAAGAAGAAGAAAGAAAAAAGAAATTACCATGGATTTATGAGGATGATATGAGTTGAGTATTACAGTAAAGATTCTGCATAACTTTTCGGAATTTTTCATAAGATTTGATAACGGGTGATCCAAAGCGAGGTACTTTTTTCTTGAGACCCAGCGTTCTATATTGGATAACATTCGATCGATTATATCACATCCAGTATGCAATTAGAAAATATAATAGCCTTAGCTGAAAGTATACACGAAGACCGTGGAGAGCCGATTCGGCGTTCGCAGCAACTCAGATTGACGTACGGAAGGATTTGGCGCAATTTACATCGAGATTTTATATTGAAAGCGTACAAAATATACAGCTTGAGAAAGAACTGAAGCCGCTCGACCTTTCCAATCGACATTGCTTCGCTCTATGGACTCTTGAAAAGTTCCAAGAAGATCTAACGTTTTCGAACCAAATTTTGTTCAGCGATGAGACACATTTCTAGCTCAACCTGAAGAGATTCAACAACTGACATTTTATACAGAAAACAACAATGGTTTGTTGTGGTTTGTGTGCCGGTGAGAACGTAACCATCAATGGCGACCCTTTTCACGCCATGATGACCGACTATTGAATATCTGAAATTGAAGCTCGTGATCTCGGCGACATTTTTTCAACAAGACGGCGCCATTTTCCACACATCGCATCTATCAATGGTTTTGTGCCAAGAGATTTCCTGTGGGGATATGTAAAATTTCAGGTCTATGCGAACAATCTCGCTTCGTTTCAGTACTTAGAGCAAAATTTCACGCTTGTCATTCGCCAGTTACCAGTCAAAATGCTCGAGCAAGTAATAGAAAAATGGATCCAACGGATGAACCATCTGAGAATAAGCCGCGGATAACATTTGAAAGATATAATCTGCAAAAAATAAATGCRAAAGAATGCTGTGTGGAGTGATAATAAACATTATTCTTTAAATTTGAAGTTTCTGTGTTTTTTATTTAAAAAAGTAGGGGACCTCAAAATAGATCACCCTTCAAAACAATACATGACAAATATCGATTAGGTAGCAGATAGTCAAACTAGAACTTATTTATGATCGGCCAGTTTGTAGGGCAACTATATCCTATAGCGATCCGAAATCGGCGCTTAAAACAATTACGTTTATTATAAAAATTTATTACTCTGCGAATCATCGATAAAAATAGCCACACATTGTTTACCGAAGCTAAAATTTACTGTTTCACTATGGTTTATTTTTAAAATTTATACAAAAATTTGACATTCTTGTTTGTTTACGAATAACGCATACATTTTAACAAAAAGTTAGTGCCTGCAATATTATTAAACCACTTGTTGATTTTGTTGTATATTTTATGATTAAATTATTTGTTGACCATTTTTCCGCAGAAAAACTAGCCTTATCGCCACAAATTATTAACGTTAATATTTTTTGTGTACCAAAGTTTACATATACATAAATTGACTAAAACTAAAAATTGTTTTACTTTATTTGCTGCAGTTTTGTAAATATTGGTGGGCGCTGAATCTCGTGAACGAAACGACAAAGACACTAATAAAAAAAATCCACCGCCGGCAATGAGGCATTTTGTAGCCGTAACTTAAGTAAATATGCTAATATTTGCGCATAAAACTCACGTTTTCAGTTCCGCTTACAACGAATGATTAACCAGCTTCATTACACTAGTTACGCCCTCTCTCTCTCTCGAAAAATTTCCTTCTAAAAGCAACAACAATATTATGCACGTGCCTACAATAAGATAGACACTTGTGTAACAGCTTGTTGCTCTCTCTCTCTCTCTCTCTCTCTCTATTTGATTATGCCAGACTGTTGAATTATGCCTATTGTTTGTTCGATTCGATAGTTTCCAAAGTTTGACTGATCAAATGTAGCTTACTAGTGTATCCTTTTATGAATCATATGTACTTTGATACATATTTGCTCTAATGATCTAAAAATGTTCTTCAAAAGCCGCTTAATTTTCTATTAATACTGATTCAACTAATTGGGGATGACCTCATTACACTTGATTTATCTCCGCGATGATGGTAAATATTTTAGAAAGACTTATGTACGTTTATCACTACATCGTGTAGTGTTGTTATTCTAATGGCGCGATACTAAAGATCTGCAAAGTAACGGCAAACATATAAATAACAACAAGACCAATGACAAGTTATAAAACAAATCACCAAAGGCGTAAGGAGAGAAGATTTATGAATATGAAATACGAGGTTGGATTAGAAAGTGTCCGGTAGATAAGGGCATTCTCGAAAATCGGTTTCTTTTACGAGTTAACAGTTAGTTCACTACTTCGTTCTTGACTTATTAAATGTATTTATTTCGATTGAAGGTGGGTATTACAATAATATAATATGAAGATAAAAAATAAAAAAGTTAAAGACATGAATTTAAATTTGTTCAGTTGGTTTGTATGATAGATATAGTTCTCGGATGTGATTTTTTTTCGGAAATTGTAAGTTGGATTGTAGAGTTGGATTTCGATGGATATGGAAGCTATATACAATATTACTGATCACTGTCTGGTGGCTACTTACGCTCGCAATATTTAGCTAATAGATCAACATGGCAGAATATGTCAAGAGCAGAGCACCATGGAAACAATAGAGCATCTCTTATCCACTTGTCCCGCATTGCCAAGACTAAGCTGTAAGGAGTCCTACCCACGGTTCGAGGCACTGGAGGAGGTATCGTTAGTTAGACCAGAGCAGGCATCCTAAAGGATGGCAACTGAACACCTTCTGGTAACTCAAAGGACCAAAACTGGTCTATGCATGGCTTAGTGGTCTACCAGATTAACCTAATCTATATGCAATATTGGTCCGATATCGGGGATTCCGATAAATAAGCATCGGTTCGCGCAAACAGACAGACATGGCTAAATTCACTTAGTTCGTGCCATTAATCATTTATCTATATTCTTATTTTATGATATAGTAAATGGTATCTGACGTTTTCTGCCGGGTGTTATTAACTTTTTGACAAACTCTTCAAGGTATAAAAAATAGTTCTCGATAGGAATTACGTACGTACTGCTGCCCAAGATAGCTTTTGGAACCCCAAATGTACTTATTCTCATGGAAGATCATTATTCCGTAGCACCCTTAGTCATAAAATCTACTCTTACTATTCAACATCTAGAAATAGCCAGCGCAATTCTGCATAGTTAGTTAGGGTTTTCTTCTAACACTCGAAAGCTATTGTGAACGCCAGACAGATGAATGATTCCTACACGATTATGTTCTAATTTTTCGTGCACGGCGCTCTCTAATCAAACCCGAGTATAGAACAAGCTGTGGGATGACCACAATAAGGAAAGAGATCATTAAGAAACTCGCCGTTTCCACGAAACGCATACTTAATCTGGTGCTTCTGTGGGAGAAATATGAGAGGGTGATAAACTAGGATTTAAGTTCCAGTTTTCGATTTTTTCTACTACTATGAAAAAATCCGGTCACGTATTGTTAACTCGACAGCGTCCCTCAAAACTATTTTAGGAATGTTTTCTGTCCTTCAATAAGGAGAAAAATATTTAGACGTCCATTATGGTTAACCCGGGAAAATATTCCTGCCTCTGTAAACTTTGAGCTTATTTCCTATCTAATCACCAGAACTGCGACGAACCATTCATTTTTTTACAGCAAACCCAGACCTTCATTGAAAACCGTGTTTTGTTTATATCAAAAACTTTTCAGTCCCCCCTTGTAGCCTCGTTATTGAATAACGAGATGCGCGAGCTAAAACAATCAAATCTGAAAGAAGTGTCTGCTCGTTTGAAAATATTAGAGTAGGCTGTTTACTGACCAACTCTTTGTCACAGATAACGCCTGATAAGGTGAGTAAGCGTTGGCCTACGAAAATTCGCAGTCATTAAGCGATATAAAAAACACTCTTTCTGCTTAGCGACCAACATAGTTTTGCGAAATTCAAACGACGAGCAACAACTCGACGCACGGAAAGAATAAAACGAATAATTGCACGAAAAGTTAATTACAAGCCGCAGACTTGGAGTACTACGTGACCGCATTAAAGGCAACTAGCGCCTATCATATAGTGAAATTACGCAAAAATCGAAGACGCAAAGAGAGGCAACATGCTAAGATTGGCAATAGCAATACTTCTGACAGCCGCGCTGCAACCGGTCATGTCACAGCTGCCGCACAGCGCAGGACTACCATCCCAACAGGGCTTGGCACGTCTGCTATTCACCTCGCGAATTACGGCTCTCAACCCGCAAGTGTCGGTGGCGTGTTTCACCGATTACATCAGGCATTCAAATTCGATCAGCGAAGCTTACGGTCAGGACTACAAACAATGCCTGCTCGAAGCGAGCGAGGAACGCAAACAAATTGACGATGATTCGGCGAGGGAACGTCAGGAAGTTGTGCATGCAGCCGAGGCGGTATGCAGCAGTTTACACGCTTGTAATGAGGTCAGCAATACTTTGGAACTGTTCAACTGTCACACGAAAATTGTGAGTATATTTCGAGTTAATCTGTAGAACTTGGAAAGGTTCATAAAGTAGTATAAGTGTCCGAAAAAGTAGGTAGGAAAATATCTGAATGTGATAGCCTTAAATTTCAGTATACGTTAGCGCCAGGATTTCTTTGAAAGTCAAAACCCAAAATTGACATACAAGTGTTTTGTTATTATATTTGATCTTCCAAAAGGCGAAAAGAAGTTTACTTAATTTAAAAGTGGTTGAGAACAGACAGAGAAACAGAGAGAGAGAGAGAGAGAGAGAGATTCGGGTAGTTTCTCTCTGTCAGCAGTAAAACTTACGTATATTTCTTATCGAATTTTCATCGCCGAAAAGATCAATGTGCAGACAGTAAGATAAATCATAGTGGCGGTAAGAAGTGGTGTCCTCGTTGTACCTGAGACGTATAGCCAATATAGAATACAAAAATCTAACTGGGTTATCACTACTGTTTAATACCGTTGTAAATACTTGCACATAGGCTCGAAAAGATATACGTACAGAGACATACGAGTTCCTTTATGGTTACTGAAGATATTACAGTTTTAGGTATTTCATAAGGGAAGGGCCTGAGAAGGCTGTTAGAGTCAATATCGCCGGATACAAGGGAGTTAATAGTAGGAGATAAATATTTTTCTTTCCGATAGAATTTTTACAAAAATTATTTCCTATAAAAATTTACTTCAACCACAGGGCAGTGCGAACACCAAGGCCATATACAGCATATCGGGTAATGCCTCCGAACATGCGACCGTGTTGCAAGAGCGCTACCGTCGCATCGAATTGCATCATCAGCAGTGCTGTCAACGCGCTGAGCGGCGCTATGTGGCAGATACTGCAAGTAACTATAACTACTTGCAGGCCTGTCTGGATGGACATGTGCAGCCAACCACAAGTTCCACCACAACAATAACAGTACCAACAACTAGTTCCATCACAACAACAACAACAACAACCACTGAGGCACCAGCCCCACCGCCAGAACCGATGACGTTACAATCGTCACCCTCCACAGTCTACGATGAACTAACGACCACTGAGCAGTCCCAAAACATACAACAACAAGTAGCACAGATTTTAAACTTATTAAATTGACCGCCGGTAAAATCAAGGAATTCTTCGGCGGTTAAATAATACCAAAAAGCTGTGAGGTTATGTGAATAGGATTGAAGGGAGGAAAAAATAAATGAAAAAAATGCGTTGAAAAATTAATGGTGTGGTGTTTTCGTTTATGGTTGTGGAAATCCATAGTAGGCAGTTATTTTTTTTTTTTAATTTTTTTTAATTATTACAAATTTTTCCTAAGCTTTTGCTAACCCTTTCCCAGAGTGTGTTTGCAATTTTCGCCAATTTTGCAGTAATACAATATCGGCACGTTTGCAAACACACAAATCCAGTCAAGTGCACTTCAAAGCTTCGTTAAGTGTCGTACGGAAAATCAACCCTGTTTCATAACGAACTGTCAAATCAGCGCAAAAGAGTTTATAAGCCAGCTTTGTTTAAGTAGTGTAAATATTTTCCAAATTAACAAAACAAATGCAAATGCGAATTGTTTTTGCAAATGCAGCGCGTGACTCGGCTGTATCTTTCGCAACCCCATCGCAGTCTAGTTGGAGCAAACTCTTGCTTTGGGCACGGCTGTCGACTGCATAATCAGTGCATTTCCGTTTGAAATTTTCAGCTGTGTTTATTTATTGCTCACGTGTCACTTTTTATGCAAACATATATGTACATATATATACATATATTCCGATCGTTAGCTAAGTAAATAGACTTTTTTTTTTACTTTGACTCACACCAAATATTTTAGCGGTCACATTTTTCACCATTTTCTAGCGTAAATTCCGGACGAAGAAAATAATCTTTTTTTTTTGGTCACTTACCTGCAAAGAAAAGAGAAAAAAAAATCAAATTAAATATTTTGTTAAATAAAAATATTTTTAATAAATTGTTATCGAGTTATGCTAACAAGCGGAGAGGAAGTGAATTTCGGTGCATGTGTTAGGAAAATATTTGCGAACAAAATGACGTCAGCGCATATTTTGCAGCAGATTTGCGATAACATTTGAAAACAATAAAAAAAAATTTTTTTTTTTAAGTATCGAAACAACACGTGCAGAAGAAAGCGTTCAGCGTAGTGTAGACTCTCACTCAGAATTTTAGCGCTTATCAGGAAAGCTACGGAGAAGTAAAATTAGCATACCATTTAAAGAGTACTYGAAAAAGTATTTTCGTATTTCCAGTTAAAGTTCAACATATTTTTTTTTATATTTATAATGATTTTAATGAACCAAATATGTACAATTTTGTTCGACCACTTTTTGATATTTTTCCGCTATAGATATTATTCCATCAGTGGCTTTTTTCTGGTTTCTCGGCAAGTAGTTTTCACAAGCTTCTCTTTAAGCCAACTTTACTCTATAAAGGGAGTTCTGCATTGACCGAAACAAATTGTAGTCCGATGGTTCAAAGACAGGGCTTTATGGCGGATACATCAAAACTTTCCAACCAAGCTCTCCCAGTTTTTGCCGAGTCATCAAAGATGTGTGTTGCCTAGCGTTGTTTTGATGGAAGACGAATCTCTTTCTGTTAATTAGTTCTGGCCGTTTTTTTTCGATTGATTGCTTCAACCTCATCAGTTGTTTACAGTAAAATGTAGAATCATCGTTCAACCAGGCTGGAGCAGCACATAGGGGATGATTGGGATGATTCCTCTCCAATCCCACCAAACACTCAGCATAACCTTTCAAGGCTTTAATCTTGGTTTTGCGACCATTTGTTGAGCTTCACCACACGTGGACCATGCTCTTTTTCGCACATTATTGTCGTATTTGATCCTCCTGTTACGATTCGCTTCAGAAAGTGTTCGATTTCATTTCATTTTGGCAAAGAACCGCAGATGTTAATTCGATCCATTACTTGACTTCACAAATTTCATTGATAGCTTTCGTGGCATTCATCCCATTTTTATACAAAAATTTCAAAATATAGCGAATTTCTTCATTATTTTCACTCATTTTTGAACAGCTGTAACTTTTTTTAACTTTCCTGAATTCAATTTTTTTGTTAAATGAAGCTCAAAATCACACCTTTCCAACAATATATGGTATAATTGATAACACTGGAGATATACAACTGCAACGAAATCTATTGACCAGATACGAAAAGACTTTTTCGACCACCCAATATACTCACATATTCTACGCTGCCGAAGAATAAGAATAAAATTCCGCAGAAAGTCTGTTATAAACAATCTTTATTCATTACCATTTACTGCTTAGGAGGGTGGTAACTTGCAATAAGACACAAAAAAATTCTGTAAAAACTGAGCAATAATATCTGAAGGTCTTCATTGATCATATTTTCAATAAAGTGATGCTCTCTATAGGAGATTTATAAAACAGCTGTTTTTGAAATCGATCGAATCTGTGGAATTTTTTCCCGCCACAACTCTATTGAATCGGCTTTGGCAGCCTCACTCCTCTTTACTCTCCTTTCTTGGATACTACTTTCTTCCATTTTTTACTTATTCATTTGATATTTCTTTAATTTTTAACTTTTCTCTATATTTGTTTGTTTCATTTTTTTCAGTTTGACAGTTTAAAGGGTCTCAATCAGCTGTGATATTGTGATAAATTTCCCTACTGACATAGATATAAGCTTAAAATCTGCTCGATGAAGAGATTAACAAGTGCCATTTTTAAATGACGAAATCTTGCTAAAATTAGTAGAATGTTGAGATAATCTACTCAACAGCCTAAATCTCATGCTTAATTGTCAGTCGGAACATGGTACAAGGTCGCATTTAATGCTTCTGACGTTTTAGAAAATAAGCCTTCAAATGACATTAGCGAATAATTAATTTAAATTATGATATTTCATTAATAAATCTTAATAAAAATACCAGGCGGTATTACATGTAGAAAATAATATTATTTTTAACTCCCAATCAAATATCGGTTAGTATTAACTGCGCCTTAAACTTACCCATTTTTCAGGCTATTAATTCACATAATATCAAAATGAATGCTTGTGTGTAGCATCCAACTGTGCAATTTTAAGGCCTTTACTTTTTTTAAATAAATCAATCAATCAACCTTCAAACAAACTGTTCCTCATTCGGTTATAAATCGTTGTTAGAAACAATCGTAATTAAACAAAAAAAAAAAAAAGAATAATACACGGTCATAGTAAGATTGGATGATAAAAAAGTAAATAAAGATTATTATTAATTCCAGCCAGATAATTTCGGCATTGAAAGCAAAAAGATATAAGAATTAAGAAGACAAGCGCCTAAGCAAAGCCACATTTATCCAATAATTAAAGATCCAATTCGTTTTTTTTTACTTCGGCATCTTGAAATATATGCCTGGCATATATATAATATACACATGCTTATACACATAATTAGAAAATAAGAAGCTTAAAAGCTTAGAAGTGCAACAACAAATTATTAACCCATATTATAGGTATATTGTAGAAAATGTAATTAATCTTCATCGAAATGAATTAGAAATATAATCAGCTAATTTGATGTGGAGCTGTTTCTTTTTGTAATTATGTAAGATGAATTTTCAGGGTTTCGACTTAAGTAGCGAATGAAACCAAGATTTTTTTTCTCTAAAGTAATAGTGAAATAATACTCTTGTCTTCAAAATTAAAATTAATTAAAAAAAAAGAATATTATAAAAAAATAAATAAAATTATTTAAAAAAAATTATAACAAAAAAAAAATAATAAATAATTAATAATAAATAAATAAATAATTATTTTATTTAAATTGCTTTCGACTATCATAATTTGCAAAATTTTAGTTGCAGAAAATCTGAAATTGTCATTTATTTTTGAACAAAACGTCCGTTGGGACAAACCCTGATGCAAAATACGAAAACTTCGACACACATCGTTCACAAAATCAGCTTTAACAAAGGTTTAGTCTAAACTAGAAAATTGTATTTGAAAGTACACATTTTGCAGACATTTTTTATTTGAAAAAAAAAAAACGGTTGATCGAAGTAGAGATCCTTTTTTCAATAATTCCTTTTGACAGATTACCCGTGAGTCGTGTCAAGCTGTCATGTTATTTTTGTTCAGTATTGTATGCATTTTAACTTTATTACGAAAATTCACCTTTTGTAAAGAATGTGTTTCGCGCGCTTCGCTCAACTTATGGGCAACATAATCTGCTTCTTGAGCGTACTATTCTCAACACCATCATCCATCTTGAGACCCAGTAATATTTGTTGGATAATATTCGACCGAAAAGACCACGCCCAGCACGGAGTGAAATAAATAAGGCATCCGTAGCTGAGAGTGTTTACCAAGACTGTGGCGGGTCAATTTGTCGCCTTTCGGACTCGGATTAACGTATGGAACGACTTAGCACATTTTACATCGATATCTTAAATTGAAAGCGCACAAAATAGAGCTTGTGCAACAACTGAAGCCGCCCGACCTTCCCAAGTGACATTGCGTCACTCTATGGGCCCTTGAGAAGTTCCAAGAAGATTCGACATTTTCGATCAAATTTTTTCGGGCTCAATGGGTATGTAAAAAAAAAAAAATTACGCATTTGAAACGAAGACCAATCTGAGAGATTGAAGACCTGTCATATTTCTTCAAAAATAATGCCTCTGAGAAAGTAACCGTCAATGACGACCGTTATGGCGCAAATGTAACCTACAATTTGATGTCTGAAATTGATGCTCGTGATCTCGGTGACATTTGGTTTTAACAAAACGGCGGCACTTCCGACACTTTGCATCAATCAATAGATTGAGAACACTTCAGTGAGCAGATAATTTTACGTTTTGGGCTAGTCGACTGTCCACCAAGATCTTGTGATATCACACTGTTAGAATTTTTAAAGCCAGTTACCAGTCAAAATGCTCGAACGAGTCAACGAAAAATGGACCATCTGAGGCGTAGACGCGGTCAACATTTTAAAGATATAATCTTCAAAAAATTAGTGCTAAAAAATGTTCTTTCGAATGATAATAACCATTCCCCATTGTATTTGAAGTTTCTGTGTTTTTTCTTTACAAAATTAGGGAGATTTTCGCCCACACATTTGCTTACAAAATCATCCATTACAGTTACAAACAATGAAGCAATTCAAATTCAACAAAGACGAATAATTAAAATATAAAATATGTATAATGGAGTTAAAAAGTTGCAA